TGAATTGTGATTGTCCTCAGGGGTGATTACATTGAAATGGTCAACAATTTTATTGACTCATCAGCGATAAATATCTGAAGTGATTATATTAAAGAAATTAAGCAAGCAGTTGTTTAAAGGGAAAATTATAATTATACTTAGTGAAAAGGATGTCTAGGGAAGCTGAACAAATTAGGCAAAGAAAATAAAGTCCTCCTAGTCTGGATGCCAGCCCACCAAGGGATAGAAGGCAATGAAAAAGCAAATGATCTATTTAGAAAAGGAGCGAACACTCCACTCACAGAACACACTAAAGAAGAACGCTAACTCCCATGCATTTTTTAGTTTCAAAACGGTTTCAAATTGGTAAAGAAATCTGTAATCTGTATATTCAAGTGGCGCCATCTAGCCACCCAGGAAAGTAACAAAGGTGGCGGCAAATTTAAATAGATGCAATTTATTTTTAAGCAAAACGTATTGACTTGTTCGCCAGTTAGAGCGAATCAGATTTCTACAAAATAAAGTGTAGTCATCTGATTGGTCCCAATAAGGAATTTTTTGCACCAACCAAACCAATACCTACAAATCTAATTTACTTGAATCCATTACCTACGTGCCGACATAACCTAGAATCGATCCTGAATCCTGCCTCCTGTCGGTATGATGAACGAGCTTTCTGCTGAAATAGAGCAGGCAAAAGTTCATCGCCGCACGTATCGAAGCTATAAATTAACCCATCCCTGCCGCTCTATCGATAAAATATCATCATTAGTCCCCCCAGTAATCGCCGGCCTTGCCCCCCAACCACTTCTCACCTCGACGGAACGTGCACGGAGGGTTGCAGAATCCATATATCACTTTTTATTATGATATAGAAGTATTTAAGAATTTTTCGGTAAAGATACGGTCCAAAGACTCTCTGATTTATAGTGGTATTTATGATTATTGATTGCTGAGACTGTAAATTTGTAGTTTATTTATCTACTAGCGTGTACCAGCGACTTCGTTGACGTCGAATTAATCATTTGTAATGGTGATGATAAAGCAAAGCAAGAATTTCCATTAACATACAAACTGGATAAAACTTTTTCACATTTATGTCAGCATGAGAAAAAACAATATGGCGATATTATTATATAACTTGGTAATATTTGAGGGATAGTTTCATCTCGTTGGAATTTGACTTTCGAAAAATCCGTTTGCCAAAAATAAGCTTTTTACGCCAAGCAGTTTAAGCAGAATCGTGGTTAATCAATTACCCAACTTTTTTGAACACCCTGTATGATTTTTTTAAAAATTTCAAAGTATGTAAAAAACAAAATAAATTATGCATGCCCAAGCGTTTTCCCGAAAGAATAACCGTTTTTTAAATAACAAATAATGTAGTATTGAGGGGCGTTTTCACCCTCTTGGAATTTGAGATTCGAGAAACTCCTCATTATCGAACCTCTACACCCCACAGTCACAATCCGTTTACCAAAAATCAGCTTTAAACGTCAAGCAGTTTAAGCAGAATCGTGATTACTCAAAGGTCATATTTTATGAAACACCCTGTATAAATTTTAAAAAAATCTTAAAATATGTAAAACAACAAAATAAAATATACGTGTTTAAGCGTTTTTTTCGGAAACTTGACCGTTTTTTAAATAAAAAATATTGTAATATTTGAGGGGTGGTTTCACCCCTTGGAACTGGAATATCGAAAAATCCCTTCTTATCGAACCTCTACACACTAGAATCGACCTGTATGCCAAAATTGAGCTTCTTACGTTGAGTGGTTTGAGCAGGATCGTGATTAATCAGTGACTCAGTCACTTAAGGATTTTATATATTGGTATAGATTTAAAGAAAAAACTAAATCGTGATAGTCAGGCATTTCAAAAACGCCTTCCTTCCACGACCAGCTGAAAATTTCGCAAACCACAGACAGTTATTTTAAAAGTGTCTTCTAAAATAACTGCAGCTGCGTTTGTATTGATTAGGTGGGTCGTTAAACCGAGTTTATTTATAACTCTGCGAGCGGTAAACATCGTATACTCTAGTTAAGTCAAATAATGTCAAACCTCGTGAGAGATTAATGATCGCCCGTGCCAGTCCACCTTTTCCAGTCAGAAAAGAAAGAAAATGAAGAAAAATTCTGCTAAAACATTCCTTTTTTTTTTAATTAATATTTCCATACTGGTAATTTCAACACGATTCTACAGGGTGGTCCGGATTGTATTCTGGAAACTTCGGCATTCGGCAGCGTATTCTGCAGATAAAAATAAGTAAAAAAGTTCGTATAAATAAAAAAATAATCTAAAGTGCTTAGTTTCGTAGATACAGGGTGTAGAAGTTTCATTTTTATTTCGATTTTTTCCAAATAATTTCTGAAGTAATGGATGAAAATTGGTTTCTGGGAGTTTTTTGACATGAGAAATTTGATTTTGATGTCAATACGACTCGTATTTGTAGAGGGCGCCACCTACATGTGTTTAAACTCTTTTGAAGAGTAATAGCATTTCGTCCGTACCTGTATAAAACTACTGAGTGAAAAAATACGTATTCCCGTAATTGTTTATGTAAAAAATGTCTCTTGGGAAAAATCCCTACGAGCAACCGTTGTTGTCGAGATATTTAGAATGGAAATAGTCAGTACATGTCATTATTGACTGTAATCTTTCAATTTTGAAAATTCGAAATTTCTTTTTTTTAATTTTTGGGAATCTTTTTTTAGTTTTTAGTTAAAAAACATAATTTCTTGATAACATGGCGACATAGGTATTAGATTAAATTTACAAGAAAAAAATCCAGAAGAGATCCAGTGGTTCTCAAAATTTTAGCAAAAATTCATTTTTTAGAAATAACTCCGTTATTCTGGACTTATTTGAAAAACAATAAAGAGAGAATATGTTTCTTTTATCGAGATCTACCACCCCTTAAAATACTTGCACTTATTTCTGAGAAATCCTGTATAAAAATATCGATGCTAAGAAATATCGATATCGACATTTTAAAATATCGATACGTTTATACATCCCTAACAGCAATTTAATCTCCGACTGTTTTGACAGACTGTACAACTAGTTTTGATTCATGGCGAACGTTATCAGTGTTTCCAACCACGAAAAATCAACATTTAACGAGCGAGTTTCCCCGTTTCTTCAACTTCCGGTAGAAAATATGGTTTGGATTGGACATAGAGGGCGCTTTTCCAAAATAAACAATCGTTCCGCTGATAAATCTCGGCCGACATTGTGAAGAAAATATACATGTTTGAAATTACTCGATGGTTTTTATATCGGTTTTCTTATATATCGATACACTTTCTACATCCCTCAAGTAGATTTTTATCTCTGTCTGAATGTATTAATTTATAAACTCTGTGTGTTTTGATTTAAAGCGAAAACTATATTAAAAAATCGATATCGATATTTTAAAATATCGATATCTTTATACATCCCTAATAACAATTTAATTTCTGATTGTTTTTAAAGACCCTTGTTTTAAATGACGATATTCTTCTATAGTGGTGTTTCAATATATCGATATAGAAATTTTCTATATCTCTAAATCAGATTTAATCATATACTTAGGTACTGTTTGACCAGCGGATCTGAAGCTACGGAAGGAATGCGAGAAAAAAAAAATCGATATTGCCACGTTTATCTATAAAATTGCAAAATTGCCAGACATGAACTATAAATTTAATATATTTTTATTATATATCATGTGTTTAGCATATATTCTGACGTATATTACTAAGGAATTTTAACGTAGTTCATATTGTTCGATATGTTTTATTTAATAACTTATTTCTTTCATTCTGTATAATTTGCTTATTATGAAAGTTGAAGATTTTTCAACGATATCATTGGCAAACCGGCATCGCCGCGCATGGCCGCTTATTCATTGAACATGATTGGCGAGAGTACGTCACAGGATTTGTTACCACGCGGTTGCCATGGCTTTTACGCCTTTTCTATTCGCTATCTTTATCCCCAACATCACGGTCTCTTCTATCTCTGTCTGAATGTATTAATTTATAAACTCTGTGTGTTTTGATTTAAAGCGAAAACTATATTAAAAAATCGATATCGATATTTTAAAATATCGATATCTTTATACATCCCTAATAACAATTTAATTTCTGATTGTTTTTAAAGACTCTTGTTTTAAATGACGATATTCTTCTATAGTGGTGTTTCAATATATCGATATACAAATTTTCTATATCTCTAAATCAGATTTAATCATATACTTAGGTACATATTTGTTTGAAAGCGAAACTTATATAAAAATATCGATACTAAAAAATATCGATATCGATATTTTAAAATATCGATACGTTTATACATCCCTAACAGCAATTTAACCTCCGACTGTTTTGACAGACTGTACAACTAGTTTTGATTCATGGCGAACGTTATCAGTGTTTCCAACCGCGGAAAATCAGCATTTAACGAGCGAGTTTCCCCGTTTCTGGCCAACTTCCGGTAGAAAATATGGCGCGGGCGGAACAGGAACGACACAGAGGGCGCTTTTCCAAAATAAACAATCGTTCCGCTGATAAATCCCGGCCGACATTGTGAAAGGGCCAAATCGCGACAATAAATCTGAAAATATATGTCTAGACGATCGATACACGCTCTGCGTTGCGGTGAATTTTTCCAGGGAATAGAGGAAAATCGACTTTTTTTAGATGCAACAATGACTACGGTTATCTATGGCCACAGGGGAATAAGCTGTTGAGCCAAAAATATTGTTTTTTCTGATGGAATTTCATTATTTTCAATTTTTTGAAAAGAATTTTTTTCAAAAGTGTTTTTACCACTGGAAGAGAATCTACTGGGTGCGTCTGAAAAGTGGCTCACCCCTATAACTTCTTTATTTTTTCGGATAAAAACGAAATTTGGTATGTTAGTATATATGGCATAAATTATGATTGATTGACGTATTCAATTGTTTTTGGTCGCTTCCTGTTTCAACGGCAATGACTACAACTTTTGATTTGAAAATATGTGACTAATAGATCTACTTACGATTTTTAGCGCCCCTTTCACTTCGGATCAGCACTTCATGGTCATCTTCCTCCCATACCTCGCCTTCTGCGATAGCCAGAGCCAGTAAGACTGCTAGTGTTGATAGAAGAAGCCACTTCATCTAAAAAAGAAGGGAACATATTATAGGCTGATTTGTAAATTATAATATGTAATACTAGCGTGTACCAGCGACTTTGTTCACGTCGAATTAATCATTTGTAATGGTGATGATAAAGCAAAGCAAAATTTCCATTAACATATAAACTGGATAAAATGTTCTCACATTTATGTCAGCATGAGAAAAACAATATGGCGATATTATTATATAACTTGGTAATATTTGAGGGATAGTTTCATCTCGTTGGAATTTGACTTTCGAAAAATCCGTTTGCCAAAATTAAGCTTTTACGTCAAGCAGTTTAAGCAGAATCGTGGTTAATCAATTACCCAACTTTTTGGAACACCCTGTGTGATTTTTAAAAAATTTCAAAATATGTATCAAATCCAAATAAATTATGCTTGTCCAAGCGTTTTCCCGAAAGACTAACTGTTTTTTAAATAACAAATATTGTAATATTTGAGGGGAGTTTTCACCCTCTTGGAATTTGAGATTCGAGAAACCCCTCCTTATCGAATCTCTACACCCCACAGTCAATCCGTTTGCCAAAAATCAGCTTTAAACGTCAAGAAGTTTAAGCAGAATCGTAATTACTCAATGGTCATATTTTATGAAACACCCTGTATAAATTTTTAAAAATCTTAAAATATGGAAAACAACAAATTAAAATATACGTGAGGGATAGTTTCACCCCTTAGAATTCGAGTTTCGAAAAATTTTCCTTCTTATCGAACCTCTACACCTTAAAGTCAATCTGTTTTCCAAAAATCAGCTTTTTACGTCAAGCGCTTTAAGCAGGATCGTGATTAATCAATGATCAGATTTTTCGAAACACCCTGCATACATTTTTAAAAATCTTAAAATATGTAAAAAACAAATTAAAATATAAGTGTTTAAGCGTTTTTTCGGAAACTTGACTGTTTTTAAATAAAAAATATTGTAATATTTAAGGAGTGGTTTCACCCCTTAGAACTGGAATTTCGAAAAATCCCTTCTTATCGAACATCTACACCCTATAATCAACCTGTATGACAAAATTGAGCTTCTTACGTTGAGTGGTTTGAGCAGGATCGTGATTAATCAGTATGTCAGTCACTTAGGGATTTTATATATTAGTATAGATAATAAACGTGTAATCATTATGATTAATTTTAGCGGTTTTGGCCAAGTTTTCGAAAAAAATTCGCCTAATTACGACGTTTCTTATAAAAAAATAAAAAACGCACTAATCAGTTAAAAGGACTCATCATAAAAAGTCACTTTATCTGATCAATTCATCAGAGAGTCAACCGGCTTCCCCTAATTAAAAACCTATCGGCCGCCGGAACACGAGTTTCCCCTATATTTTTTAATTAACGAGCTAACGTGGGTGCGGCTTAGGGGAGGTGGGGTAAGGGACCGAAGGGGATGATTTCGATTATTTTAATTAGAGAGAGAGAGAGAAGAGAGAGAGAGAGAGAGAGAGAGAGAGAGAGGAGAGAGAGAGAGAGAGAGAGAGAGAGAGAGAGAGAGAGAGAGAGAGAGGTGTATTGATTTATAGAGCGCGTCAACAGCGAGGGTTTTTCGTTATGTTGATGCTGTCTAAGAATTCTATAACTTTATTAATCGTCGGAAAAATTATAAACACTTTTATAGCATCTCTAATGTTTAGACCCTCGTTAAATTCCTTATTTTTATCTTCCTAGCGCCCTTAGGAACTTCCAATGTAACGCATGAAAGAGTCTCTGCAAACTTGCTCCAACATTTTACGCTTGGAAGGGTCTTCTGTTTAGCATTATCTCTGAGAATGAAGGGGAAAATCTCCCAGATACCACTAGCTTCCCCTTTTCCTTCGTGAATTTACCAACTAAACTAATTTGGCAAAATGCATTATGTGTCAGGAACATGAGCAATGCAGAGTTTTTAGAAATTCTAGGCCTTATTGAAGATGGCATAGAAATATTTGTTAAAATATTGGTGTATGATTTGTTTTTCAATTTCAAAACTGTTATTTTTTTCTTCTACACACAAGGTTTTACAAAGGTTTTATTTAAGACGTTTTGACTGAACTGTCGAAACCTTACAAAATATTCAACAAAATAACGTCGATGTTAAATTTATTTTCATAGGCGACTGGATTAAACAGGGTGGTCCGAACTGTATTCCGAAAACTTCGGCAGCATATTCTGCAGATAAAAAAGTAAAAATGTTCGTATAAATGTATGTCCTAAAATGCTTGGTTTCGAAGATACAGGGTGAAGAAGTTATTTTGGAAGTAAAGTTAATATTTGGGTGAAAATTGGTGTTTTTTTAACAATCTCACCCTTAAATTTTATATGGAACTGATTATTGATTATTAAACATATATGTATATTGATCCATCAATAACTTACCGAATATCAGTGTAAGAAGTTCTTTGAAGTGTTTAAATCTTTCTTTCTCTGATCCATTTAGATTTTTATTATCTCCAAATTAAAAAAAATTATATTGCAGAGCTAACTCAGCTAACCTCTTTATCATTATACGAGAATATTTGGAGTTTTCATTCATTGGAGTCAAAATTTGGTAAATTGGATATCGAGTAAGGGAAGAGTCGCTGCTATAATATTAATAATACTCTTAGGAAGGTGTAACAAGGTAATTAAAAACTTGAACTTACCTTAAAATCTCTTTTAAACTACACACAAACAGAACATTTATATAGAGCTTCCGAATGATTAAACGATAATTGCTTCTAAACACATACCACTCCTAGAAACGAGAAAGGAGAGAGGACACATAAGATACACTTGGTCGGTGTATCTACGCTGAGGCTATCCGCGCGTGCGCACACCTTCATTTCATGCTAGAATGTAGACACAACAGTACACTATTACAAAGTGTCTATATAGATATTTACATTATGTGTATATGTCACATTTTTACAAGGTGTGTACTATAAGCACAACTATGATACGAAGTATCACACATCACACATACATATGACTTATACATTGTATGTCTCATATACCGACGTCAGATTTCATCATTTTAATAATTATTTGTTACGTTACAAAAAACTCTTTAGAATCCTGTGTGCATACGGAATACAACTAGTAAACACTGTATCACACAATTCTATCAATATAAACCTGCGTGTATCTCATATGTATATGTTAGAACTAGATGAACACTTAGGTTCACTTTAACATATTTTGTTTTTCATGTGTCTCCCTTGTAGAAACGTAATTTCATTTGGACTTGCTGTATGGGAAGGAAGAATATCCAGATATGGCATAAAGACTCTCCACCGGTGTGGTACGAAAGGCACCCAAAGATAATCGTAGCCCCTGGTGAAGTATTGTATCCAAGGGTTCTTACTAGCATTAGATCTGTAAGAGGATAATACTTCATACGGTCCGGCAATAGTGCGTCGAGAATCTGTAGCTCCTAGAAGAAAAAAAAAATACATCCTCGTACATACTTAAGTTTTTTATTCTGGAAACTACAGATGTCCGGCGCACTATTGCCGGATCCTGTATAGAGTACAGGGTATCACCAATTTGAGAACCTCATCATTGGGATAAACCAAGCATCTTTTCAAATAAATACAGGAAAAATTATAAACACTTTTACTATATACCTTCAAAAATGTTATTAGACATAAAACTGCACAACTTTGCAATTATTTTACCTTCTTCGTATCTCTTATTGTTTCCGATATCCCAATGGTCGCCCTCGAATTAGAGTCACCCTGTACTTAACTTTATTGACCGCTCATAGCATCTGTAAATTTATATAAAACCCTTTTATAACATCTCTAATGTTTAGACCCTCGTTAAATTCCTTATTTTTATCTTCCTAGCGCCCTTAGGAACTTCCAATGTAACGCATGAAAGAGTCTCTGCAAACTTGCTCCAACATTTTACGCTTGGAAGGGTCTTCTGTTTAGCATTATCTCTGAGAATGAAGGGGAAAATCTCCCAGATACCACTAGCTTCCCTTTTCCTTCGTGAATTTACCAACTAAACTAATTTGGCAAAATGCATTATGTGTCAGGAACATGAGCAACGCAGAGTTTTTAGAAATTCTAGGCCTTATTGAAGATGGCATAGAAATGTTTGTTAAAATATTGGTGTATGATTTGTTTTTAAATTTCAAAACTGTTATTTTTTCTTCTACACACAAGGTTTTACAAAGGTTTTATTTAAGACGTTTTGACTGAACTGTCGAAACCTTACAAAATATTCAACAAAATAACGTCGATGTTAAATTTATTTTCATAGGCGACTGGATTAAACAGGGTGGTCCGAACTGTATTCCGAAAACTTCGGCAGCATATTCTACAGATAAAAAAGTAAAAATGTTCGTATAAATGTATGTCCTAAAATGCTTGGTTTCGAAGATACAGGGTGAAGAAGTTATTTTGGAAGTAAAGTTAATATTTGGGTGAAAATTGGTGTTTTTTGACATGAGAAATTTAATTTTGATGTCAATATGACTCCTACTTGTAGAGGACGCCCCTCCTACATATTTTTTAACTGGGTTGAAGAGTAATAACTTTTCGTTCGTACCTGTATAAAACTACTGCATACAACTATACATTTACGTTTTTTACGTAAAAAAGGTCTTTGGTAAAAATCGCTATGAGTAATAATTCTCGAGATATTTGGAATCGAAATTATCAATATCTGTCGTCACTGACATAAATTAAACATAACTAAATAGTTATCAGACTGAAATCTTAAATTTGAAATGTTTTATCAACATTTTTTCAAAGAAAAATTTATGATTAATTTAAAAAAATAAAAAATTCCTAAATTTATCGTTTCAGTCAAATAACTATCTACTCAACATAATATACTCTGTTTTTTTTCTCAGGTAAGATTTCGACAGACGATGACAGAAGAAAAGCAGAATGGTCCCATACCAATCTATTTATTTTATTAAAAAAAGTTTCTAATAATTTTTAAGTTATCTATGGATGGGTTTAAATATAAATCCGTCATGCGTCGTGTCTTGTTGTTTTTAACCAGTTTTATTGG